TCCCAGGCAAGCACTGCTAACCCTCTCTACGCCCCGCCCAGGCCACGCCCCTCAGCCCCTGCCACGCCCACCTGTGCACATAGCCCAGCCGGTGCACTGAGTCTATGGCCATGACAATCTCGGCCAGGTAGAAGCGCGCCATCTCGGCCGGGATCCGCTCCCCAAACTTGCTCAGCAGCGTTAGCAGGTCCCCGCCCACGTAGTATTCCATGACCAGGTACTGGGAGGGGCGTCATGGGGTCAGTAGCCTCCCTAGGCGCCCATCGCAGATAGCCAAGGGCAGAGACTCCCAGAGAGAGGGATGCCCCATCCCTGGGCAGAGACCCCGCAGTCCCGTGCCCAAGAGAGGCCTGAGAGCTTCAAGGCCAAACCAGAGGGTCTCCCTAAAGACTCCTCTCCCGGGATGTCACTGGACAGAGACTCAGTCCCTTAGAGACATCCAGGGAAAAACAGAACCCAGAGACCTCCCAACACCTAGAGTATATACATCCCAGATGCTCTGCCCAAGCAATGGCCCGCGCACACGAGAAAGCTGCCCCGATCCGGTTAAGAGCTTCCTCCAACAGAGGGATCTTCGTACAAGAGACCCCGGATCAGCCATAAAAAGAGCAGTAAAGGACATCACCTCCCCATTCTAGATTTTTTAAAACGGCCCCTCCTTTACATGAGACACATCCTGCCATCACACAAACCCCTGTGCAGGCACCTGGGGGGCAGCTAATCCAATCCTACAACTTCCTCTCTCTGCCTCAGCCGTGTTAAGGTGTGTGGGGGGTCCGTCCTTCGTAGTCACCCGGCCAGGAGCTCACCAGGTAGTTCTCGTCCTGGAAGGCGAAGTGCAGCTGCGTGATCCAACGGCGGTCGCCGTTCACCAACACGTCCCTCTCTTCGCGGAAGCACGACACCTGCGGGGCAACGAGGGCGCTGAAGAAGGTGAGAGGAGAGGATCCCCGGCTCCGCCACGCCCAGCCCAGCCCATCCCTCACCTCGCCTCTCTTCAGCATGTCCCACTTATTCATGATCTTCATGGCATACACCTGGCCCGTCTGCTTCATCTTCACCACCGCTACCTAGAGGACAGCAGAGAAGTGGCCAGAAAAAACAGAAGAGCCACCCAGACGGGATCCCCCCTCCACTTTACCCAGCAGTGGCCCCGCCCCGCACACACAACGCCCGTAGGCCTCAAGCCCCACCTCCATTGCAGCCCAGTTCTAGGTTCTCTCATTCATCAATTTTAAAGTCCCGCCCAGCTCCTATGCCCCGCCCACCCCGTTGAGCGTTCCAGCTCCGGGCCACTCAGGACTCACCTCGCTGAACGCCCCGCGTCCAATCACTTTCAGAATCTCAAAGTCATCCCTCTGCAGTCGGATCTCCTTAAGCCTGGCCACAATGGGCTCCGCTGGGTGTGGTGAGGGTAGAGGAAGAACCGAGTCACTGGACAGACACTGGCGATGAGGGCCTGACCTTCAGTCTCCCCTTCTCTGTGTTTTTTAACTTTCTTTTGGGACTGCCTGCTCCCAGAGGCTCTCCCACAAAAACACCATGTGAGTTTTCTGCACTCTCAAGCCTGGGAACACGTTTTGGATACTGGGTGTTGGGAAAGAGGGATCCAGTGGGAGCAAGAGTAACATCTGCAGAGTAGGAGGCCTTGAATAAGCCCAGTCCTTAGACCTCCCTGCGCCTCAGGTCTCCACCCCCACTCTGCCCTCCCCTATCTCCCGCGGCTTGGGCTTTCAGCCTAGAACTGCCCAGTACCCAGTACCCAGTACCCAGTGCCTCCAGAGTGAGATTCGTCCCGTTCTTTGGGAAATACTGAGTTGGGGCCCGAGAGGTTTTGGACACACAGCCTGAGCACTTCTGGAAGTAGCTCTGTTTTCCCCAGGGGGGCGGGAGGCTTCCTGTACAGATAGCATCAACTGCAGAGGCTAAAAGCCTATAGCTAGTGGGCTCAGCTCACACTTCTGAGAGGACCGGCCAGGTGGAGGCTGGAGACTTGGGGGCAGTGGCGAGAGGGAGACCTGGCCTTGAGGTAGAAGCCAGGTTTGGGAGGCACGATGGAAGAGGGACGGTGCTGGCAGGGAAGAGGGGAGAGAGTGGGCCATGCACAGAGGGGGTTCTGGAACGTGGGCCGTGGGGAAGGACCGGCCGGGGCCTAGGGTGGGGGAGGGAGGAGAGAGCCAAGACATTGAGCCCTTTTAAGGCAGCGGGAACCCAGGCCCCCTCCCCCGCCCCGGGCCCCGCAGGGGAGGGGCCTCAGGATGCAACTCAGGCCACAAAAGGACTGCTCCTTCCAGGAGAGCCAGGGCCCTGCCCCAGCCCCAGGCCTCAGTTTACCCAGCCAGCCCAGCTTCATTCTCTGCAAAAGCGAGGCTGGAAGAGTCACTGAGGCCAGAGAAGAGGTGAGAGAGGTGTCTTCTAGAGGCCAAGTGGGCTATCCCCTGGTTTCTGCCCTCCCATCTACAAAATGGGAGAGGGAGAGAAATTTCACATGGGTCATAGAGATGGACGTGGGCTAAATGGGGGCTGGGGAAGGAGGCAGTGACACAGGGACACACGGAGAGAGGCCAGGGACCAAAAGCAAGACACTGAGGGACAAGTGACAGAGTAGCAGGGTGTCAGGGGTCAATGAAACTAGAGCAAGCCTGAGATCTAGGCCTGGCGTTGGGTGGGAGCCGCTGAGGTGGAAGCTGGCACCGAAGCACTTATATTCTCTCCTCTGAATTGTCCCCAGGGCCCAGAAAGATCTTGTCAGAGGTAGGCCAGCGGGAGGGCTGGTGGCCCTGAACAGGGACCACTAAGGAGGTAGAGAGCTGGAAGGGGCCATGGCTGATGCACGCAGGCTGACAGGGACCAGGGGCAGAGAAAGGGGCACCCCAGAAACCCAAGCTGTTCCCAATTGAGGACTGGGGGGGATCTGGGTGACACCCCTCAGTAGAGCTGAGTCTCCCCCAGGCTTGTGTGAGTCACCTCACCCTCCCAGTGCCTGGGCACCTGTTGGGACAGCTGGCACGAAGCACCTGTCAGCCACACCCGTGGCAGCTGTCCCTCTGCTTGCCCCTGTGCACTGGAAAGCCCGGGTAGATGGTCATGGGGCAATTCTGGGGTATAGGCCTAAGAGATGGGGCCACCAGCAGGTCCTTAGCCTAGACTTGGGCTAGGGGTACAGGGAGACAACAGGTGGCTGTGCCCAGCTTAGCCTGTCAAAGCTCCCCTGCTGTGGCTGTTACAGCTGC